CCGGCGGCCTGCGCTCCCTCTACCTGCGCAAGGTGCTGCCGCTGGAGGAGGCGTACCGCTTCCACGAGTTCCACTCGCCCGCGCTGGAGGACGCCGACTTCGAGAACAAGCCCATGATCTTGCTGGTGGGTCAGTACAGCACCGGCAAGACCACCTTCATCAGGTAACCCTCGCGCCTGCCGGGACTCCTGTCCCCCACCACCTGGACACTCCCCCTGCCCCGACACGTGTACGCGTGTTGTTATCAGCCTCCTGCCGTCCCGCCGCCCTCTGGCAGCCTGCGGCGCCGTCTTTCCCTTCGCGGACCCCCTCGCCGCTGCTCCCCCGTCCAGTATCGGCGTGACCTCAGGTCCAAGCTCTGACACGGTGCCCGCAGCCCCGCCCTCGGGCGCGGCCGCCAGAGTGCCAGCAGGCGGTCCCCACGCGGGCAGCAGGGTCCCCGGGACCGATCCTCGCACGCAGAGCCCTCCTTTGCGTTTGGGAAGACGTTCTCTAGCTGGCTTTATCTTGTCACCTGGGCCTGGGGTTCCAGGGGAGGGCAGGGGAGCGAGATGTAACACGCATCTTCTTGAGGAGGGAGTGATGCCTAGGGCTGGAAATGGAGACCGAGGTGTGTGGGGTATCAGAATCGCCTACTGAGTCATAGTGGCAGGCAGTTAAGCCCCTAGTGCAGCGCCCGCGCAGAACTATTTATTTAATGGATGAATGACAAAGGTAGAGGATATAGCCCGCACCCCATTCCTTGAGGTCCTTACATGCCCCCCCCCCGACTCCCCACACACACACACACACACTCCCCACCCTCAAAACTGTGTTCGGAGGAAGTGGGGAAAGAGCCCTTCTTCCTTCAGCCCTGGACTATGTATAGCCTTTATGCTCCCGACTTTGTAGTAGCAGCCACGCCTCTGGAACTTGGGGGGAGTGTCCAGTTACTACTCGTTAGTTTCCATTTCTTAGGTGGTTCCTTCCCTGCTTGCTCACCCCTGGCAACCGAAAATCTTTGTCATGCTCGCTGCATCTCTGAAAGCAAACGTTATTGTACATGTCCTGTGGTTCAAATCATAGAGCTTCCTCTGAAGGGACGTGATGGGAAATAATTTTCATTGAAACAGATTGCTTTTTTAATCATCAGTTTTATTTCTAAAGCAGCCAGCATAGCAAGGCAGATTTTCTTTGATAAGGAATGTCCTTCTGGATTAAACCCCTTGTCCTTTGAATCAAAGTGACGGATATTTAAGGTTTGGGTCTTGGGCTTTGGACATGGTAACAATCTCTTTAGCATTTGATGTTCAACAGGTGTTCAGAAAGCTGCATCTATATTTGGATACATGCCATTTCTGTTAAGTGACGACCTCTTTTTCTGCACTCCAGTGACCTAAATAGTTCCTACAAATAGAGTAGTTGTCACTACAGGAAGTGTGTTAAATCCAGGCCTGCAGACACACTGTGGATGAATTCAGCAAAGCAAATGTATTGTGTGCTGAAATGTAGTTCTCTACAGTAAACTGAACCTAAAGGAAGACTGAAGAAAATCCTTTTAAAATTGCTCTATTTCGTTATGCATAAGCTAGAAAAAATATTCAATATTTCTCCTTCCAGACACTCAAAATGAGAGAGGATAGACATTGAAGGTCTGTGTAATACCACCCAGGTTTTAAGTACTTAGGATAATGAAGTACTATAACCAAGTGGCGCAGGCGGGAGGCGGAATTTTATGAAACACGCAAGGACTAAGAGCAGAGCATTGTTGTGCCTTGGTGGTGGCTTGGTCATAGCGCCCGGGGCATTTCCTCCTGTTTGTCTTTGCAAGGAGGTCCTTATTGTGCCTGTGTGTAATTAGGGGGCCCCTGCCTGATGCTGTACCAGCCTGGGAGTAATGTCCACAACCTGAGTAATAAACAGGTCTCAGGTGGGAGAACACAGCTCACAGAACAGGAGTCAGTCTTCTCCCCCCCCCCTCCCCGCCCCAGATACTTATTTCATTATATTCTCACTCTTCTCTGTTTTGATAGTTTGGGGAAACTTTGTGGAATAGCTGAGCGTGGTTTTAAGAAGGGTTCTGTGGACTGACTCTGGCGACTCCATCTAGGTTGACCACTTCTCAGTTCAGCTGGAGCCACGTGCAAGCCTGGATGAGGGAGGAATCACCTTATCAGGAGTCACGTGTTCTTGAGGCCCTCCCTGAGCTAAGTGTCATTAGGCGACGGCACAAGGTGGGCCTGTGAGGGTAGAAGAAAATCAGTGTGAACAGGAAGCCTGGTGAGGCCACAGGAGACTGGAATTTGGTTTCAGCATGGAGCTAGGAAGAAGTGATTTTGGTTTTGGGAAGAAAGCTCCAAGCAAAAGGGCAGCTATTGGAGACTCGTGCACTTGGGATGGCCAGCAGAAGGACTGGCCCAGGGTGCTCAGCAGCCCGGACCCTACCCCAGGTAGATCCTGGGTAGAGGTCTGGATTGGCTGCTCCTAGCAGTGGTGCAGTAGGAGCCACACTTGGCTGTGGGGTGCACCTGTACGGTGACTTGCAGAGCCCAGGTAACACAGACGCTGTGCCGAAATGGTGGGTCACTTCTCTCCTGGCTGTAAAGCCACTCAGCAAAGCCTTCAGTGTGCATTCCACCCCTTTAATGAAACCTCGCTCTTCTCTCCTTTTGTCCCATGGCTGGGAGGAGGAACTAGGGGACCCACAGCACATGGCGGGCAGAACATATCAGGAGTGAGGCAATTGAGTGTGCACCTTGTTCCAATGCAAAGGTCTCCCAAACGGGGTGGATGAAGAGCCTGGGTGTCAAGAAAATACGGTCACTCCTGTATGAAAGATGGCCATGAGGGCCCAAGTGCAAGGAAGAGGATGCAGATGGGGGCTCGCCTACAGGTCACAAGTGGGCCCAGCAGGAGACTTCAGATGCCAGGGGGTACTGGTCAGACTCTCACTGGGGCCAGGCAGAACAGCTGCCAAGCCTGTTGTCTTACAGACAGTTTTGTTTCTTAGAAGATAGGGTGGGGGCCCATCCACAGCATGGTGGTTAAAGCTGCTGGATCCCACATTGCCTGCATCAAAACTCAGCCCTAGAGGCTTTTAAAAGGCACACTAGATGTGTATGTGTGCATGCCCAAAATCCCAAGAGGAGAATGGAGGGGAAGGAATTGGAGTGTGGCCATCCCCTGGGGAGTGCTTTCTTACTTTCTCTCTCTCTTCTCTCTTTCTGGTGAGTTTGCATGCCCTATCACAAACTTAAAAAAAGAAAAAAAGTCAGAGTGTAGCGTAAGGAACTGTTGGCTGTTCTACCTCCGAGTGGCAAGGAAGCATTGGCCAGAGAAAGAGATAAGACGAACAAAATGACTGTGTCATCCTAGAGTCTGGAACAGCCAAGGCAGGGTGGATGTGCTCGGTCAGGCTGTTGTCCAAAATTTGAGGGAAACATTTCAAAGATTCCTCCAGAAAATCCTGGGCCCACCTGTGTGAAGGAAAGTGTCTCCACTGGGAGGATGTGAGGCCCACCTGAAATCAATTCTATTTACACATAGCAACTTCTGATTTTTAAAAATTACGTACTTTTATTTATAATTTTTATTATTTTTAAATTTGTTACAGGCATGTGAGAGAGACAGAAAGAGAGAGGAAATGTGCAAAAGCAAGCCACCAGGGCCTCACACTGTGGTCGGCCATGTGGGAGTCCAGTGTACAACCACGCCACCTGCTGGCCCCAGAAAATATGTTCTAATGAGGAAAAAAGAGAATTCACTCCTGAAACTATATAGGCTTTAAAAAGCCAGTGACTAGGGCAAAGTAAGCTAAATAAATAAATAAATGACATCCAGATTGGAAAGAAAGAACTAAAAGTATTTGCAGATAACTTATGTAGAAAATCCTAAGGAATCCACTAAAGAACTATTTGAACAAATAAACAAGATTTGCATGGTTACAGGATATGAGATCATTGTATAGAAGTCAACTGTATTCACCAGCAGTGAATAGTCCTGAAGTAAAACTAAGAAAACCATCCCATTCATAATGACATCCAAAACATAGCAAAATACCCAGGAGTAAACTTCAAAGAAGCACAAGACTTGAACCCTGAAAATTGTGAAACATTTTTGAAAGAAATTAATTAAAACCTAAATAAATACAAAAGAATCCTATGTTGATGGATTAGAAATTCACACACACACACACACACACACACACAGAGAGAGAGAGAGAGAGAGAGATTTTTCCTATAGGGTTCATGCTCTTGCCAGAGGGATACAGAAAGCAAGATATCACCCCCTCCCCCCTTGAAGGATGGCCACGCCACAATCCCTTCTCCTCCACTCTCTTCCCAGGATTTTGAGCACATACACACACATGCCTAGCGTATTTTAAGCCACTGGGTCTGGGACTGAAACCAAGGTCAACTACATGGAAGTCCAGCTACATAACCATTACATCATCTTCTGGTCCTGAAAACATATTTTTAGGATGGCAGTATTCCCCAAATTGGGACCAGCAGTTAGCATAATGGCTATGTCGCTGGACTCCCATGTAGTCGACTGCGGTTCGAGTCCCAGACCCGGTGGCTTAAACTCATGCTGGGCGTGTGTGCGTGCGTGCCCAAGATCCCGAGAGGTGAATGGAGGAGAAGGGATTGCGGCGTGGCCAGCCCCCCCGGGGGGGGGGTGATTTCTCACTTTCTGTCTCTCTGTCTCTGTCTGGCTGGCGAGTGCACGCACCCTATAGCAAAAACCTCTCCAAAAAAAAAAAGAAAGAAAAAGAAAAAAAGATGACAGTATTCCCCAAATTGATTTACAAATGCAACACAATCCCTAAAATCCTAGCTCACTTTTTTGCACAAACTGACAGGCTGATTCTATAATTCACATGGAAATGTGAAAGACCTGGAGTAGCAAAAACAATCTTGAAAAAAGACAAACAAATTCTGGAGGATTCACACTTCCTGATTCAAAACATAGTACACAGCTGTAGTAACATAAAGACAGACATAGCTCAGTGGTATAGATTGGGAGTCCAATTTAAACCCTTACATTTATGGTCAATTGATTTTTGACAAGAATGTCAAGACAGTTTAATGGGAGCAAGGATAGCCTTTTCAAAACAGTGCTAGTCCAACTGGGTAACCACTTGCAAGAGAGATGGAGGGGAGTTGTTCATGGGTACGACGTTTC